GGGCTCGGGGCGCTCGGCGCACATCCTCCCGGCGGCTCGCTCCGGCTCGGACTGAGCGCCCGGCGCTGAGCTCACGCCGCCGCCGCGCCGCCCCGCCCCGCGCCGGCCCCGCCCCCGCGCTGTTTGTTGCCGTGCGTCCGCCTCAGCCCGAGCGCCGGCCAAGAATGTGACCCGCTCCCCGCCGCGCTCTTCCAGGAACGCGCGCTCCCCGCCCGGCTTCGGCCGCGCTCGGCTCCGCTCGGCCGGGGTTCGGCTGCTCTCGGCTCCGCCCACCCGCGACTCGGCCTCGCTCGGCCCGAGACTCGGCCCCGCTCGGCCGCGCTCGGCCCACGATTCGGCTCCGCTCGGCCTCGCTCGGCCCCGCCCGCCCGAAGGCTGCTCGGCGGAGGCGGCGGCGGCGGCGCCCGGGGCCCCCCTTCCGGCCGAGGCCGTTTCCTGCGCGGCTGGGAAGGCGCCCGTCCCGCCGCCGCTGGGGCCCAGAAACCCACAGGGCCCCGCCACAACCGCAGACCAGCCGAGGGGCGGGTCCGCGCGACGGGGAGGCCTGGCCACAGCCCCGGGGTCCTCCCGGCAGGACAGCGCAGCGCCAGGAAACCCCAGACACACCTGGGCTCCCGCCCCTGGGGACGCCAGGGCTATCTGAGAGCCCCTTTCCGAGGGCGACGCCGCACGACCCACGTGGGCTGCCACACACGTTAGAATGGCAACACTCAGGGACCCACCCTCGACACAGACCCCATGCAGCATGACGGGAACCCCCACGGGGTGCAGGAGAGACCCCGGCCCGGGCCGGACGGGCAGGCTGCACCGACCACCGACCACACGCCCGCAGCAGCGCCCGCCCGCCAGCCGGCGCGGGACCCTCCTCATCTCGCGGGTGAGGGCTTCTGGCCTAGGGCGGATAGCCATGCCATTGCGACCTGTCCTGAGTGCCCCAGCCCGTGGGACCCTCGCCCTGCAACATGCAACCTGCAGGGCCAGGGAACCGCTTACACGTCCCTTGGGTCGCGGCCACACGAGACACCCATCTGTCCCTGCGCACACCGGCTGTGTTGTGGAAGAGAGGCAAGCCAGGAAGGGCGGGGGGGGGAGCAGACCAGGGGCCCCGGAACTGGACAGTCTGGCCAGGCCTTCCCGCCGAGGTGCAGCCTGGAGAAGGCAGCGTTCCACAGAGGCCTGGGAGTGGGAATTCAAAATCGGGAACAGTGCTAGCCATGCTCAACCTGAGGCAGAGGCACAGCCCAGCAACGCTGGGCAGTGCGCCTTTTCCCCAGGGGACAAGGGTGCCCACACTGGCGTGCTGAGAGAGCCATGCCCACTTCAGCTGTGACCTGTTCCTCCCCTCCCCAGTAGAGGCCGGAACCACCCAAACCAGCACTCCTGGGGCACAACTTCTGCTCTGGGGAGCTGCCAGGCATCTGTGCAGGCCTTGGTCGCAGGGGCAAGTGACCCTAGGGACAGGCTTGGGAATCAGGGTGCAGGGCGCTGTGAGCCCTCCCTCTGCTGCAGGGGACAGGTTGTCCTCGTGGTCGCCACCCTGCGTCCTTCCCGTTCTATCCAGCAGAGACCCCACCACGCAGCTTCTCTACGTGCTCACACGTAAGAAAACTGGGTACGAAGATGTTTCCTTAAAATGGATATTTAAAAAACAAAGAAAAGGGACTTCTTATTTGTCTTCATGGAGTTGGTTTTGTTGGCCCACATTTTAGACCAAAAAAACAGTTAATGTTGCACTTGCGAGAGTCATTTCCTTCCATTTGGATTTGAATTCTGTAAAACTCGGGCAAATTGTGAGCCGAAGAAGGTGGCCACAGGGCCCAGCCTGAGGGCCTGCCGGGAAGCGTCTCCAGTCAAGTGAGGAATTCCTCCTGCTGCTCCCCAGGATGAGCAGCAGCTCTGGGCAGGGCCTGGAACCTGGGCGCCCAATAGGCAGTGCCCGTCAGACGCTCTGCTGGGCCCAGGCCAGGGGCCAACACTCTTCCCAAGCCACAGAGTCCCAGAGCAGCAGCCATGCGCACACCTGGGGTGAAGGGCCTGGGGTCAGGAGGGGTGGGGGGATCAGGCGTGGGGGGAAGGGCCCTGAGAAGCAGGGAAGGTCTCAAGCTGGCCTCTGAAGCTCCCTCTGCCTTCGGTAGACTTCAAGGCCTGCCTATCACCCCCAAGATGAGGTGTTTCCAGAGCAGCCCACCCCCCACCCCACCAAGGTTCAGGGTGGCTGTGCCTAGAGGGAACCCTGAGGGGGGGCTCCCACCTGCTGGCCTTCCTCCAGCCCATCCCCGAAGCTGCTCTGGCCAGTCACCCACTCAGGCCACCATGCCAGTAGGTAGAGGGTCCAGGCTGTGGAAACAGCCCAGTCATGCAGCGGGGCACACTGGGCATGGTGCCTGCCCAGAGGAGCTCCAGCACGCAGGTGGGCGCAGGGCCCCCTGCACTAGGCCTCCAGCTCACTCCCTGATCCCTGCCACACTTTTGTCCCCTCACTGAATAAGCTCCTACTAGTGCAGACGCTGAGACGGGGGAAGAAACCAAGTTCTGCCCCCTGCATCCCCATCCTGTGAGAGTTGACAATGCACTGTGAGGTCAGACCACCAGCCAGCCAGACAGACAGGCAGCTTCCGGCTGCAGACCAGCTCAGCTCCACCCTGCCCTCCTCCCTGGGAAGCAGAGGAAAAGCCCGGTGGCAGCCAGGCACAAACTGCCATTGTTAGGAATGTGTGAAGTTACTGTAAAAAAAAAAAAAAAACTTTAAATTTGAAAAAAATTACTCAAGTAATATAAGCTTGTAAAAATTTAGAAGAGAATTTTGTCTTACCTTGGGTTCCGCCAAAAGTAGGCCCTCAGAAAAAGATTTGAGTGCAAGTAGTTTACACGGGAGGCAACCCCCAGGAGTGCGGCTGCAAAGCCTCCTCCCTCCTCCCTGGGCACCTGGAGCAGAGTCCTTGGGGAGCCCAGAGGAGTGAGGGACCTCCACAGGGGCAGGGAGATCGATTATGTTGGGCGGATCAACCAAATAAGAAAATGCGTCACGGCTAACAACAGCGATTTCTCACTGTCAGAGATGGGAATTTAAAATATGGCAAGGGAAAAATGAACCAGGTGGTGTTGGATGGAAATTATCAATACCTGCGTGATCTCATACACATCAATATTTATAAACGAAACTCCTGATGTAAATGTGTGTTTGTACGAACACCCCTACATCCCTACTCTGTCCTCTGAGAGGAAGGACACCCCAACTGCAGTGAGCACACCAGGAACCCTGATTGTGACTTCTAATCTCCACTCTCTGAAAGGAACCAGCGTTCTCTGGAGAAACGGCTGAGCCCAGGGCCGGAGAGAGGACACGATGAGAAACAGGGAATGACAGAGGTGGGGAAAGGGTGAGGAGCCGGGGGAAAGGGGCTCCCACGGGCCAAACCAAACACAGGAATGACACTCACAGATGGTCCTAACAGTAATGGATCATGACCATAGAGTAGAACAGGAAACCATGAGTCCATACATGTTTTAGTATTTATTAAAATAAATATCACGTCAGGGTCAAGTATGGTTGTTTTGTAGGTAGGGGTAACATTAAGCTCGTCTCTACAAAAAAATAGAAAAATTAGCTGGGCGTGGTGTCTCACACCTGTGGTCCCAGCCACTCGGGAGGCTGAGGCAGGAGGATCGCTTGAGCCCAGGAGTTTGAGGCTGCAGTCAGCTGTGATGACACCACTGCACTCTAGCCAGGGTGACAGACTGAGGCACTGTCTCAGATAAAAAATAAACAAGTATATTAATGAGCTGAAAGTTTGAAGAGAACAATTTTCATAGTTTGAAAGTCTCTCCCCATAAAATGCTTATTGTCACAAAGGGAAAGAAAAGTAAGTTCCTGGTGGAGAGTCTGGCAGACACCGCCTTAACCGAGCGATCACAGTGGACCCTCTGGAAACTGGGTCGACGGGACTACCGCACCACCTGCGGGGTGGGATGGGCAGACCTCGGGGGCACATCTGTGACTTTCCTGCCAAAGAGGCACAACTGACATGACAGGGACAGGCCTCAGACGAACACACGCGGAGGGACTGTCCAAAGGCATCAGGGTCACAGTGGTTAGGGGAAGGCTGAGGAGTGTTCCGGACTGAAAAGCCTAAAAAGACACGATGACACCTCGGTGCAATGTGGGTCCCGGGCTGGATTTCGTCACTGCAGGGGACATTATTGGGACAATGGGAAAGCCCCGCATGGGGTGTGAATCCTAGTCGTCCCTGCCTGGGATGGTCGTATCGGGGTGCCTGAAAGAGTGTCCTTGATTTGGGGTGTGGCGGAGCACCATGTTGGCAACTAACTCTCAATGCTTCAGGGAAAACAGTTCCTGTACTATTCTTGCAACTCTTCTGTAAGCTTTAGATTGTGTCAAAATACAAATTTTATTTTTAAAAATGTTAGGAGGAGGAAGGAGGCATGAATTCTCCATTTGGTCCAGCTGAGGCTGTTGAAAGCGCTGCCGTGGGGCAGCGAGAAGGTGAGGCCCGAGGCACAGACAGGACTGCACAGCCTGTGCCGCGCCTCCCGCCAGGGCAGCACGGGCTCCCCTTCTACTCCAGGCACAAACACGTGCCGGATAAAATGGATATGCTTTTTAAATGTTCTATAGAAACGCACAAGGAAGGAGGCTCTGCAGAGCTAGAAATGAAGATGCAACTCGAGCCACAGTAGTGAGCAAGAGTGGAGACCGACCAGCCAACGTGAGGTTTAGGTTTCGGCTCATGTCCACTGAGGGCTGGTAGTTTAGGCCAGCATGGGACAGAGTTACAGTCACAGCCCTTTCTGAAATGGGGTCTGGAATTGGGCTTCCATCATGACCAGAGCTAAGAAGGGGGCCGGGTGCAGTGGCACACACCTGTAATCCTAGCACTCTAGGAGGCCAAGCTGGCAGGATCACTAGAGGTCAGGAGTTTGAGACCAACCTGAGCAAGAGCGAGACCCTCTCTCTACCAAAAATAGAAAAAATTAGCCGGGCATGGTGGCGCACGCCTGTAGTCTGAGCTGCTCGGGAGGCTGAGGTAGGAGGACCACTTGAACCCAGGAGTTTGAGGTTGCTGTGAGCTAAGCTGATGCCACAGCACTCTAGCCCAGGTGACACAGCAAGACTCTATCTCAAAGAAAAAAAGAGAAGGGGATGTCCATTCAGTCCATGAAGGAGACAAAAAACTGCCCACCAGCCTGGACATGGAGCCCAGACAGCACCCAGCCCAGACAGAGAGAGAAGGACAAAGGCTCCGGGAAAACGTGGAGCCAGTGGAATACAGGACTCGCTGGGATCGAACACTGCGTGAAGGGCTTGCTGGAAGATGTAGGTCGGTTAGCTGTAGCCACAGAGAAAACTCAGCAGTTGAAAAAAGGAAGCAAAGCAAACACTAACTCCAGGAAAAACAAAGAGCAAATCTAAGCAGAGTTCACTACGTGGCTCAGCAGTGAATAATATTTACGTGGTTATAACAGTGTCAACAACTTAACCAAAAATGATGAAATGGCTCATTTGGGAAGACAGAAGAGGAGAAGGCAGGATGGGCGGAAGGTGCTGGGTAAGAGCTAAGCCCGCCTTCTCCAGTAATGGCTCACCATGGAGAAAACCGCGGAACCAAGAAGAAGCAGCAGGAGCACGGCGGAAAGCACTGAACCTGGTGTCCCTGGTGTACCGGGCCAAGGGACAGGGGTGGTGGGGAAGCTGGGTGAGTCCTGCAGACATATTGAAACCGTCCTAACTTTTTGGGCTCTTTTTATTTCTCTTATCTATATATCTGTATTTCTTTGGTAAAAATTAAAATAAACAAACTAGAACTCTCAACTAAAAATAAATAACAAAGAATAATGAGTTCACATTCCCATCAAAAAACACCACCATCTGGGACATTACAGAACACACTTTGAATAAGTCATCGATTAAAGAAGGAATCAAAATGGAAATCACAAAATGTTTTAAACTGAATGATAAGGAAAACCCTGTCAATCAGAATTCCTGGATGTAGCTGATGTGGTACTTAGAATTTTATAGCCTGCAGTTCCTATATCGTAAAGCAAGAAAGTGGTTTCTGCCAAGTGAAGAAACTACAGATATTTTTAATTTTCTTCTTTGTGTTGACCTGTGTTTTCTAGTTTTTCAAAGCAGCTGCTTTCAGTTTTGTCGACCTTCCCTGTTTCTTTCTGGGCTATTCTGGCAGGAACGTACCCCCAAAAGGAGCATCTGCACAGCCCACAGACAGCTACTTGTCCCAGGCGGCCTCAGGCGTTATCTGCTCCCCTGGGGTGGTCCTGGAGCCAGGACCTGCGCAGGTCCGGGGGCCCAGCATCCAGCACACAGCCAAGACTTGCCTCTTAGGGTCGACTGAGGTGACACACGGACTCGCTAATCAGAGTGCCTGCCTGTGGATGTGCCTATGGACAGTCCTGCCCTTGTGGCCATTGGGGACCAGAGGGTGGGCCAGCACACTGCCGCAGGGGCTGCTCGGGTGGTGGGCTGACCACCTCATCGGGCACTGTGCCCCCTCCTGTCCACTCCCACCATGGGCAGGCCTGGCCTCAGCTGCTGGATGAAGTCCGGTGGGGCAACCAACAAGGAGCTGCCCGCCCCTGACAGCCTGGGCAGAGCATCGGGCATCCCTGGAGCCAGGTGGTCGCCCAACCCCACCTCTGGGCCCACACCCAGGGTGCAGTGGGTCTGCCCCAGGCTCCAGGCTGGGAAGGCAAAGCTGGCTCTGGGATTCCTTCCCCTGCAGGGGACCACTGCCCAGCCCCTGCTCAGCGGCACAGGGGACCTCAGAGGCCGAGGGTGCAGTAGCAGGAGGAATGAGCGGGAATGAGGGAGGGGCACATAGGCCTCAGCCTGCCCGGGGCTGCCACCCCTCACATGCCTCGGCCTGGCTCTGGGGATGTGTCCACAGCCTGTGGACAGCAGGCGGGACACTGTGGCAAGGCCCATTCTGGAGGAACTGTGTGCTGAGCCGAGGACAGCCTGCCCTGCGGCCCCATCCCCGCCCACTGGACCCTGTCCCCCAAAGCATCCTGTGCTGCCCCAGAATGTGCACGATGCTGGCACGGCCGCCTGGGGCTCCAGCCACGCCACACCGGTCACAGGGTGGCCGCCTCATGCTCCTGCCTGCAGCACTTCGCTGGGCCCAGGGCCCCAAGGCCAGAAAGATCACGTGTAAAGCATGGGGGTGGGGCCACGCACTGGGGGGTGCAGGGGGAGCCGGGGACCTGGGGACCTGGGCATCGTGCCGTCCTTTCACCCAGCACACAGTGCTGAGCATCCTGGGTGGGCGCAGGGGACACTCGGGGACAGAACGGCACCATCCTGGCCCCGGGAAGCTTTTGGCACCTCCCAGACAGGGGTGCTGCTCTACTCCCCTAAGCCTCCCAGGGCCAAGGCCATGACCCTGCTAGTGACAACAGGGGGGGTCGCCAGCACCAAGGCAGCCCTGACACCTGGCTTGTTTCACCCTCCCGGGGGGGCTGCTGCCCTCCCAAGGCCTAGCCCCGACCACCCTCCCGCAGGCCAGTGACCCAGACCCCGGAGCTCCCTTCACTCTGCGCTGTGGCTGCCCCTTCCCTGCCAGGGCTCGGCTGGCTGCCGCGGGAACGGTGAGCACACCCTCATCAGATCTTCACGCACAGACAAATGGCCGAAGTGCCCAGTCCAGGCTTCCTCGCTGGTGGGGACGGCTGTCCACAGGCCAGGCGGCCCATCCACACAGTGTTTGAAGAGGTGGCTCCCATGGGGATGAGGACACTGCCCCCACAGCCTCCCTGCAGCCCCTTCCCCTCTCTGGACCTGGGAGGGACGGTGGCAGCCTTTTCTCACGCCAGTCTTGCGTGTGCCCCGGGGTCTGGGCCTGCCGCAGACCAGAGGGGGATGCTGCACACGCTCCAGGTGGAGGTGGAGGTGGAGGTGGAGGTGGAGGTGGAGGGGGGGCTGGGGTGGGGCCAGAGCCCCGCAAGGGGAGAGAGGAAGGGGAGGCCGGGCAGCCAGAGCCATCCTCAGAGGCAGCATCCGGCCTTGCCAGCCTCCGTGTCAGGTGGGGCAGAAAGGCAGTTGGTGCTGCATGGAGGGGGCGCTGTGCCCCCCACCCCTCGGAGGCTCCCAGAGCTGCTCCCAAGAGGGGCTTGGGCAACTTAGGAGGAGTCTCTGACGCCAGGTCCTGCCGGCACCTGGCCGGCTGGGGAGCAGGGTGGACCCAGGCACATATGTGGAGAGCAACCCGCCGTGCCCTGCACCCCGGCACGTCCACGCAGAGCCCTGCTGCCTCCCAGGCTCCTCCGCAGCCCCTCCCCGCCGTGCCCACGGTGAGGACCCAGGCTGTGCACGCGTCTTGCACCCTGCCTGGCCCAGCGGCCCCTCCTGCGCCGCCTGGGCCCCTCTCCCCCAGGCAGGGCCCGGCTGGCTCCTCGTAAATCTGAGGCACTGGTTTCCCGAGCAGGCCCCGCCCGCCCGTGCCGTCATTTCTGGCAGGCCTCTGCGTGAGCTCACTGTTACATAAGGCATGTGAGCTATTTCGCGGGGCTTCATTTCCACCGCAAGCCAAGGGAGGTCTGGGCGTGAGAGACCCCGGGGCCCCCGCCCTGTGTGCAGGAAGGGCTGCCCCGAGAACACTGGCATCCGCAGCAGAGGAAGGAGCAGTGGGCAGAGACCCAGCCCCAGCAGGCCTCGGGCACAAAGAGGGGAAGGGGCTCCCAGGCTGCTGAGGAGGGCGTCTGCTGCTGTGGCATCACCCACCTGGGATGGGCTTTCCTCCCCCTCCCGGCTGGAGTCGCCCGGGATTGGCACCCCGCCCCCGCCCCGTGCTCCTGGCCCATCTGAGGGCACCCGGGTCGTCCTCAGGCCCTGAGCTGGAGGACGTTTCGGCCAGAACTTGCACTCTTGGCAAGAAAAAGAACTACATTTCACGTTGGTTGGAGCAGAGGTTCCCCCTCCGGCTTACGAAGTGCCTGCCTGGGAGAGAGGAGCCTCCACGGTGCTGGGACAGCAGTTTCCTGGAGGTGGCACCAGCCCAGGGAGCCCCTTGCAGCTGCAGGGGTCCTCTGAGGACTTGGTCATCTGGAGAGAGCAGCCCAGAGCCCCCGGACCTCCTGCTCTGTGGTCTAGGACTGAGGGGGGCCCATGAGGACACAGGGGACCCCCCCCCCGGGGACGCAGCAGAGGGGACACGCAGATAGTATGTGCTGGGCATTTCTAGGAACCAAGCCCTCTCCTGGCCTGGTCCAAGCCCAGGAGGAGCAGGACGGGCCACCTCCTGGCCTGGAAGGAAAATCCGGGCAAGGAACCACCCCAAGGGGGAGGGCTCGGGGGGAGAGGTTTTCTCGTGAGCCCTTCCCTTCCCGGCTCCAAAATCAGGGCAGGAAAAGAGCATCTAGGCCCCAGCGGCAAGAACTTGGGCTCTGTGCCCTCCTGCCCCACCAGAGGCCACCGGAGCCCGGAGTTCCGGCCTGGACAGGCCTGGGAAGCCCAGCACCCCACAGGCCGGGCCACACGCTTCCCCTTTCCAAGGAAGGAAAAGTCCCCGCGGAGCTGGGCTGGGCATCCACAGGCTCCCCCGTCTAGTGGAAAGGGATGTGCTTGCAGACGCCTCCTGCCGGGAGCCCATCACCCATGACACACCCTGCATGGAGACAAAGCTCCCGGTGGCGGCAGGGACACACCACGGAACCGCGAGTACCGTGTGGGTGGCAGAGAGCCAGCAGCACTGAGCGGCCCCCTCCCGCCAGACTCCCAGCCCAGGGCCCTGTGTCCTCCATGAGCAAAAGAACATGTATTCCTCTCTTTTCAGACTCGGGTTCTTGGAACTCACACCCTCTTGGGTTTGCTATTTTTACCCACCCTGAGCCTTCCCGTCTCCATGGCGACGCCTCCAAACAGCAGATTCCAGGCGGCAATGACGTCACCTCTCCCTTTCCTGCCGCCCAGGCCTGGAGACCGCCTGGGCCAAGGGGCTGAGACTTCCCTGGGCCCCTCCTGTAACCCCAGCACTCCCTCAAGCTGACACCCCAAGGTCTGGGGGCCACCGTGGGGCCTCTCCTAACTCTGGCTCTCCTGGGGGTCAGGCCCCTTGGGGGCAGCATTGGTCCTTCTCTCTGCCCCTTGGAGCAGAAGCAGCCATCCTTCCACTTGGGGTCCCTGCCATGCCGATTGCCCTGCAGGCCCTGGTGGCTGGGGAGGATGGGGCAGCAACCTGCTGGGCCTGGGAAGCTCCCTGCGGCCCTCGCATCAGAAGCTCATTCCCAAGAGGGACAGTGACTGTGGCAGGGGCCCGAGGAGGCTGCGGACACAGCTGGGGCTGGGTATGGCTAGGGTTAGCCTATGGAATGGGCTCAGGTGCCGGCTATGGTGCCCAAGGGCATCCAGCCCCCTCTGGAGGTGGTCAGAGTGCCTTGGCCCCAGGTCCAGGCCTGATCCAGGCTGCATGGCTCCAGGGCCCTAGCCTGGGCAAGGCCATCTCTGTAGGGCCCCACCCCACACCTTGGCCTTGCTCAGGCAGCTGGAGTGAAGGCTGCCATCCCCATGCCACACACCTGCAGTAGACCCCAGCCTGTCTGGGACCACACTTCACCCAGGTGTCCCTGCAATGCCAGACTGAGATCTGCCCTTAGCCCTGAGGATGGGGACACCCAGGGCTGGGCGGCCACCTGTGCCCAGGATAGGTAGAGGATGGACCACCTGCTCCCTGGATCGCCCTTGGGGAAGAGAACCCCACCCCTGGCTGCTCATTTTGCTGTGGACTCAGACGTTTTCAGAAATTACCAGCAGTCTTAGCAGTGCCTCCTAGGGTACACAAGTACTGCTGGGAAAGCTCTGCACCCTTGAGTGGCCAAGAGAAGCCCCAAGGAACGAGCCCCACCCAGTCCCTGGGCTCCCTGAGACCTGCCACCTCGCCTGGTGGGGGGATTCTGTTGCCTAAGCAGGGCCCATGGTTAAGTCAGCCCCAGCCCCACCCCCACCTGGCCTCGACCCCAAAGCAGGCAGCCAGGTAGGAGGGCAGGGTGTGGGGTGAAGGAGGAGGGGGCCCACAGGGCTGGGGAAATGGGGGGTGGAGCCCCTAGCACGAGCTGGGCAAGAGTCAAGGCCATAATCTGTCCTCCAGCACCCCAGGTTGGCTGCCATCTCTGCTCCCAGAGACGGTACTGAAAGAAGGTGGTTCCGAGGCTCACATTCCTTCCCTCCTGCTTGATTTCGGGTATGAAGTCCCAGCTCGCCTCTGACGTCGGCAGGCACGCTCGCAGGTCTGCACACGAAGCGGGCAGAACCCGCAGACGCCGTCACACACACAGCGTGCAGAGAGCACGGCCAGTAGCTGGGCCGCAGGGGGCCTTTCCAGCCAGCCTCGCCCCAAGGAGGCCCCTGTCCCAGGCTGTGTCCCGGGTGTGAAGGGCTGGGAGGAGAGCCCTGGAGAGAGGGCCCAGCGGGATGGAGGCCCTCGGAGCGCTTGTCGGCCCGGGCCAGGTGGTCTACTCCCCGAAGTGGATGTGGCTAGAAGGGGGAGGTGGACATGGCACATCCGGCTTAGCGCCTCGTCCTGCACGCTGTCTGGTCGGAAGGCAGGACGCAGCCTTCGCGGGAGGCCTAAGGTCTGAGCTCTGGTCGGCCAGACACGTCCTGCCCAGGCCAGGGGCTGCGGCCCTGAGGGCTGGTGGTGGGTGAGCGTGGGCTTGGTCTGTCCGCCGTGCTCGTCGGGGCCAAGCGGAAAGGAGTTCCTGTCCTCAAGAGCTCACGGTCTCACGGCAGGCCGCGAAAAAGTTCCCAAATATTCCGTGTCGCACAGGGGCCCACGCTCTTAGGAGGAACAGACCACGGTGAGACAGGTGGGCGCTGAGTCGGGGTCTCCCTGCGGTCCGTCTGAGCCAAGCCCCCCCGTGAGCAGGGCGGAGCATTGCAGGCAGGGACCGGCCAGGGCAAAGGCCCGGGCGGGCTGTGCTCCGTCCCTGCAGAGCCCACGCAGGGGTGGAGGACGGGCCGGCGAGAGGAGTGAGGGGTGGCGAGAGGGTGGGCACTGCTCTGAGCCCAGGAGACCCCAAAGCCACAGCCCATTGATGATGGCCATGGCGGAGCGGCCACTGGGTGGGGTGAGTGGGGCCGGGCCCCGCGTCCCGCCAGCCCTGGGGGCTCCCCCGAGGGACCTGAGTGAGCAGCGCCCCGAGCCCTCCACTTCCCTGCTGGGAAAACTGAGGGCCAGATAAAAGGAATCGATTCGAAACAGACGAGGCTATTTTCCTGAACATTTTGTTCCCAGTCCCGCCCCCAGCCTGGCACAGGGCTGGAGTGAGTGGCGGAGGGGAGGGCCCTCGCCTGGCCCGGCCCACCCTGCCCAGGGCCCCGCTGCCCACAGCCCTGCCCACTCGGGCTGCGGCAGGGCCTTAGGTAAACAGGCATATCCGTGGCTTCGAGAGACATTGGAGGGACCCAGAATGGGCTCAGGGTGCCTGGGCAGCTGCAGGCCTGGCATCCCCTCCGCGCTCGGTCCACCCCCAGGCCCAGCGCTGCCCAGCGGGCTCCGTCGCCATGAGTAATATTTAACTTGGAAAGGCTCACGGACAACTGCAGGGGAGAAGTTAACAACAAGTTTGGATTGTGGTCTGCTTGCCAGGAGGGGAGGAGGAGAGGGAGGGAGGGAGGGAGGGAGGGAGGGGAGAGGGCAAAGTTGAGAGGGAGAAAGGAGGCCAGGAGGTGGCCAGGGGACAGTCAGGCCTGAGACCCCAGGAAGCCTGGGCCTAGGGCCAGACGACTGCCACACCCAGGAGCTGCAGCTCTGAGGCCAATCGGCCGGCTGGCAGACACTTGGGCTGAGTCCCCAAGCCTCAGTTTCCCCTGCAGGCACAACCCTGGGTCGAGTCCTGGAATCCAGCTCTGGGCAGGGAACACACACACACACACACACACACACACACACACACACACACACACACACACACGGGTGTTAGCAAACAGCCCTGCCTGCAGCTTTGGGGCCTCAACCCAAGGCCGGAAAAATCCAGGAGGCTGAAGCAGGGATGAGGTCCCGCCCAGCGGGTGGGGGAGGGCGGGGCTGGGCCAGACAGGGCTCTCCCCAAACACAGGCCTCCCAGGGCATCGGCTCCTGCAGGGTTCACCGCTATGTGCCTGGCTGGGCCGTGCTCTGGCCAGTGTGCCCTTGTCCCCTGTAGGAAACACAGCCACGCCTGGGCGGCATCCGCCCCATTGGGCATCTCCAGCACCTGCCAGGCACGGTGCATGTATTCCCGAAACATGCAACACACCGCCAGGTGGGCAGGCGCCCTGAGAGCGCAGAGAGGGGAGCACACTGGTGGGGGTCGGGAGCGCTGTCTCCCACCTCCATCCCCGACTCCCCAGATGTCCTGGGAGCAGCCCCTGTCCCGACCCAGCAGGCTCAGTTTCCCGCCCAGAAAAGAGAGTGGCTTCCACTATCTTCCGGCCCCTCCCAGCTCCAGGTGCCCACCAGACCGCACCTGAGAAGGCCGAAGGATCATGGCAGAGAGCCTCGCTCTAAGGACCAAGAGATGGAGACACCTGGGTCCCTCTGCCACCTGAGGCCTGCCCGGTCCCCCCACTAGGACACAGCTCTGCAGGCAGCCCCTGAGCCCGTGGCCCCGGATCCATCAGGCCAGGCAAAAGTCATGCCCACCCCTCACCAACTCACCTGCAAGCCGGAATGGAGAGCATCCCAGTGTCCAGACGAATGTGTGCTTTCGCAGAGGACAATGCTAATGCACGCCAGCACTTACCTGTGGGTTTTCCTGATTTGCTCTTGGGCACAAGAGTCTACCTTCCTCCTGGATTGGGGGGCATATTGTCTGCCCTCGAGGAAGGGCAGGGCTGCTCTATGGGAAGCTGAGTGGGACCCGGGCCCAGGAGCTGGGGCGTGGGGTCCTCGGCCGGGGGAGGGGACACTCTGGGCTCCCAGAGCCTCAGGCTCACGGAATCACACCCACTTGGTGGAACATGCTCGGGGTGAACCCACTCCCACTTCTGCTCTCTGTCTCTGCAACTGTCGTTTCACTAAAGTTAAACTGTTGCATTGTGAACTTCCCAGCCCTGGGGACCGGTGGCTTCCTGTCACAGCTTTCCAATTCACGACCCCACAAAAATGAAGCTTCGAAGCTTCGTGGGCTTGGCGAAGGGCCCAGGCCGAGTAGGGCTATCCCCCCGAGAGGTGCCTTTGATTGGAGCCATGCGGTGCTGCAGGAGACTCCGGGGGACCCCAGATTCCGGCCCCTAGAGACAGGGGCTCCAGGACAGGACACTCTCATGGCCGCTTTTCCTCCCTCACAGGGCTTCTCAAGGGAAAAGCAGCCACTGCTCACCTTCCCCACAGCTCAGGTGAGGAGTCTGGGAAGTGAATTGACAGGAAAGGCTCTGCCCTCGGCCCCCACCGCACGACACGCATTTGACGAAAGCACCCTGGTCCAGGGACACCTGCTCCCACCCGGAGTGTGACCGGCAGAGCACCTGCAAGTCCACCCTGGGGTCCCCTCCCCTGAGCCTGGGCTCTCAGGTCAGGCAGGAAAGGGATGAGACTCAGGCCTGCGGCCTCTCTCCCCTGCAGGACAGAGTTTCCCAGGTGTGAGGACAGGTGAGCACAGGAGGCCGGGGCAGGTGGGGGCCTCCTTCTGCCCTTCACAGCGACCTGCTGGCATTTTGGGGGACAGTCAAGGAGAGACTCGATGGCATGGCCACCACGCGGCAGAAAGTGTCCATAGGGAGGACACGGCGACCAGGCGGAGGCAGGAGTCGCTCGTCCTTGGAGCCCCCAGCCGAGGCCGTGGTGCTGAGCATTGTGCGGGCCCGCGGGAGCCGTGTTCTGCTATGGAACGCGCGCCGGGCCGCAGAGCGGGTGTGGGCAGCGCGCGGATTCCACGCTGCGGCTAAAGCAAGTACCTGACAGTTGACACTGATTTCCCGCCGCTCCACCTTCCACCTTCCACCACCTTCCACGCGACTGCGGCAAATATGAACCACCTCTGCCGGGCACGTCCGACTTGGAAGTCGCAG